AGACTTATAGACTACTGAAATATTTGGAGAACATTGCTGTTAGATGTTGAGATTATAGAATTTATCAGTGAATTTTCTTGGTCACTGTTAAAGTCTTTCTTGATACTCAATACTTTCAGAGTGTTTTGGCTAGTTTTATTTCCTAGACTTTAGCTTTTCCTTTGATTTATTATTTTCCTCCTTCTTGGATGTATTTTCTTTTTTTATCAGGGGAGGGAGGGAACAGCAAGAGGTTACAGGAGGACAATGATTCTATGACAGATCTTCCTTTGAGACAAAAGGTCGTTAGTAATGATGGACACTAAGTGGGTGTCTGAAGGAGTTTTATTCCCATCACACAAAGTATGACTCCATGAGCTTCAAGGTTTCTAGGGGAAAGGGAGTTGCTGCAACACCAAGAAGCAGCTTGGTTATCTGAGACCTATGCTACATTATAGAGGATGGGTTCTAGAATTTAGGCTACATGAAGAGCTCATTGATTATATTCAGGGGGAGTGTGGGAGATATGATTAATGTGTGACTTGTGACAACAATGAATCTATCTTGACCTCTGGGAAAATAACAGGTGTGGGGTGGGTCTGGAGAGCAGCCCTCTCTGTTAAGGACATTTTTTTTCCCTTGGGGGCAAGAATATAAAAGGAAAAAATTAAAAAAAATAACTGTGGTTTTTTTCTGAGCCTTGATTGGTCCATTGCATGTGACATCACACGGAGTCCTTGTGAGGTGTGGTAGATACTAGCCAATGACAAGGCACGGCCTGAGGCTGGCTTTAGCCTGTTCTTCAGAGAAGCAGTTGGTTGTTGGGATAGCAGTTGGCCTCAGTCGTTTCCCCAGACAGTTGGCCTTTCCCCCAACCTCTTGGATCTGGCCATGGTGAGTTTGTTTCCTTGGTTTTCAGTTTGGGCTTTTAGCATTTGGCATTTATTTATTTCATTATTTACATTATTGGTTTGGGTTTTAATTTTTTAAGTCCATTTTCTGCATTACAAGTTATGTTCCCTTTATAAACATCTTTTCTTTGTCACTTTTTGTCTGTATTCTTGTATATTTTACAAATTTATTGGTATATATTAACTGTATAGGATGAGGAATTTGATCATGACTTTTATATCTGGCTTTACTGTATTTTGTTTGTATTTATGTGCTATATATTACTTCTCCAGACATTGAATTTGACAAGTATTTCCCATTATTCAAGGCTATCCCCCTGCCTGCTCATGATCTTTACGAAACAAAATGTGATACTTGTGTTTGTGGAACAAGCATGTTTGAAGTAACACTTTCTCTCTCTCTCTCTCTCTCTCTCTGGTTTTTTGAGACAGGGTTTCTCTATGTAGCTTTGGAGCCTATCCTGGCAGTTTCTCTGGAGACCAGGCTGGCCTCTAACTCACAGAGATCCGCCTGCCTCTGCCTCCTGAGTGCTGGGATTAAAGGCATGCGCCACCAACGCCCAGCTTGAAGTAACACTTTCTCTATTCCAAGCTTTTTCCTGAAAAAGGCATTTTATTCTATTAATATCTGATTATATTACTTAGCTCAGTGTTGTGTGTGTGCTATGTTCTTTGACAGTTTGTATACATGGATGAATCTTTAGTGTTTCTGGTTAATGGCATCTTGATCACAAAGTATGGTCTTGTCAATGTAGTGTTGAATTGGATGTGTTTGATCTCTTACTTTCATTCAGGATTTTCCAATCTGTCAGTTAAGGATATTGCCTGAATCTTGGATCTGTTTAAAATGTCTTATATGGTTTGAAAATAAGGGTAATACTTCTTTTATGAAAAGACTTTGAAAGTGTCCCTTCCCTTGGTTTTATGTGTGGTGATATATTGTTTATGGTTTATTAAAGCTTGCCTGACAATTCAGAAAGCAAAGTCAGCCACAGCCATAGAAGCCAGGCACACGCCTTTAATCTCAGCAGCCCGAATTTAGGAGATGGTGGTACACACCTTTAATCCTAGGACTCAGGATTAAGAGATAGATGGATCTCTGTGAATCCAAGGCCACCCAGATCTACACAAGAGTGAATCAGTCTAAAAGAGAATTATAGCTCACACCTTTAATCCCAACATTAGTGTATAAGACAGAAGCAAGGTCTCAGAGAGGCATCATTCTCCAGCCACACTGAGGAGAGGCAGCAGTTTGAGACTTGGTGAAGAGCTCATGTGTAGATCAGCCCTTTTCAGCCTAAGCTAGAGGTGAGAGCTAGAGGCCAGCTGCTTTGCTTTTCTGATATTCAGCTTGAAGCTTGAACCCCAATGAGTCATTTATTTATTTGTGTTACATTTATTATGGATTACTGAAATACATGTCGACCATTGCTGCTAGTTGTTGAGATTGTAGAAGTTTATTTCCAGTTTGTTGGTTTTGCATCCTGGGATTTAGGTTTGCTATTTTATATTTATATTTATGTTTTTCCTATTTATATATTCTTCTTACACATAGTTCATCCTGACTGTATCCTCCTCTCCCTCCACTCCTGCTAGTTGCCCTCCACCTACTCTCTTCCTCCAGATCCACTGCTCCTCTGTTTCCCTTTAGGAAAGACCAGGCTCCCTAGGGACAGCACTGAACATGGCATAAAAAGATGCAATAAGATTATATTTAAATGTGTGCTTTTCTTCTTGTGGTCATTTGTGCTCATATTTGCCTTCCATCATTAAAGATTACCCAATTGTTTTCTTTTTTTGGTTTTTCAAGACAGGGTTTCTATGTGTAACAGTTCTGGCTGTCCTGGGACTGACTTTGTAGACCAGGGTGGTATGGAATTCAGTGAAATCCACATGCCTTTTCCTCGGATGTGCTGGGATTAAAGACATGCAACACCACTGCCAGGCTCAATTTTCATTCTTAAAATTCGGTCTTTTATTTCCCTTTGGTTTCTTTTTTCTTGTGTAAAACACATTGTCATAATTATTAGACTAAATAAATATATACTTTATGTGTAGTATATGTAGTATATATTATAATTCTCATAATTGTGTATATTTGATATATGCTACTGATAATATAAATAATTCTAATAGCTTATTAGAATTTGTTATACTGTATTATATACTTATATTAATCACAATTATATAATAAGTATATTAATCACACTAAATATATAATTTACATACCTTACACATAAGCAGTTGCATGACATTTTCCATATATGCCTATACTGTACTTATCCTATTTCCCTGCACTATTTCAGTACACCCACCACATCTTTGTGACTTATGCTATGACTTTTGCCAAAGCTCCGCCCCCTCCTTCCTCATGACCCAGAGAAGACAAAGTAGATTCTATTTGTGTTTGTGGACCTGCTTTGTTTCAGGTAAAACTATGTCTAGTGTTAGCTCTTTCCTTATAACACAACAGTTCACCAGTCACTGTGCCGAGTGTGGACTCTTCCCCACATTTCCTCCTATGCTGTGCTGTTGTTCAGTTTGCTTGTAACAAATTTTCCCTCAGCTCTTGGGTGAGGCCATTTTGACTGTGCAGGAAGGCTCTTCAGTATAGTGCTGAAAAGGATGTGAAGTATCAGGGCTTCTCATCAAGGATTCCATATCTGTGCTCATTCAGGGAAGGAGCTTAGCCGTTCTCTAATCGTTGAGCTTATTTGGTTGCGGGATCAGGTTAATGCTGGCACAGAGATGAATTTGGATGTCTTCCTTTGCTTTTTCATTTATTTATTTAAAAATATTTTTCATTTTGCACAGTGAATGCAAATCCCCCACCTGTGTTTCTCCTGTCCCCTTACTCTCCCATCCCACTCCCATCCCACTCTTAAGAGGGGGTAAGGATTCCCTTGGGGAATCAATAAAATCTGGCATACCAAGTTGAGGCAAAACCAAACCCTTAGCCCCTGTATCAAGGTTGAGAAAGGTATCCCATCATAGGGAATGGGGTCCAGAAAGACATTTCATGCACCTGGGACAAGTCCTGGTCCCACTGCTAGTGCCACCTCCAAACAGATTAAGCCACATAACTGTCACCCACTTTCAGATTGCCTAGTTCTGTCCCATATAGATTTCTCAGCCTTTAGTCCAGAGTCTGTGAGCTCCCACTAGCTCAGGTCAGCTGTCTGTGATTTTCCCAGTCACTATATTGACCCCCACTTGCTTGTATGATCCCTTTTCCCCCCTCTTCAACTGAACTCCAGGAGCTCAGACCAGTGCTTGACTGTGGATCACTGCATCTGCTTGCAACAGTTACTGAATGTAGGTTCTATGATGACAGTTAGGGGAGTCGTTAATCTGATTGTGTGCGAAGGCCACCCTCTCCACTATTGCTAGGAGTCTAATGTTGGCTCATCCTTGTGGATTCCTGGCAATTTCCCTAGCACCAGGTTTCTCCCTAACCCCATAGTTGCTCCCTCTATCAAGATATCTCTTTCATTGTTCTTGCTCTCCATTGTGCCTTCAACTAGGCCAATGCTTTCTCTTTCTTGAAGTATTTTCTATAACCCTGTCTCCATTCTTCTGCAAAGTTTTGAGTGATGCAGGGAATCCATGAGATCTGGGATCTGCCTCGTTTGGAGCAGTTTTTGTTGCCACTCATGTGTTTGTTGCTCATGACTCATGTGTTTAGGTTTTTTATTCTGTCCTAATTCAATATTCACACATATCTAGGAATTCCTTTCATATTTTCTAACTTCCGGGTATAAAAACTGGAACATCCCTCAAGGACCCTCTGGACTTTAGTTCTATCAGTTACAACATCAGTTTCCTATAATGTAAGTTGCATCTGATCTCTCTGGATCAGTTTTCATTGTGTCACATCCTTGAAAACAAGCAGCTCATTCTTTCAGGGATCTCAGTATTTTCCTTTGCATGCCCACTTCACTGATTCCAGCTCTGACCTTTCTATGATTCTTCATCTACTGCTTTGGGTTTGGATTCTTCTAGTATTTTTATAGCCTTGAAGAGCATTATTAGGTTGTTTGGGATATCTCAGATTACCCAGAGAATTCAAAGCCATAAACTTACCTTCTGAAACTGAATTAATTTTTTTAGGATTGTGTGACTCTGAAATTTCCCACAAGGTAAAGTGGTTGAATTGGAGCAGAACACCATGGACAGCCACAAGGAAGAGGAAATTCTTGAAAAAGATTTCAGGATCCTACTGTCTCTAGGTTGTGGTACATTCGGGGAGGTGAAGCTGGCCTGCCACCTCCCCACGAATACTCAAGTGGCTGTCAAAGTCCTTGAGAAAACCTCCAACAGTGTGGCTGACATCAGCGCTGAAGTGAACATCCTTCAGTCTGTGGAACACAGGAACATTGTTCGATTTTTTCACATGATCGACACACTGATGACCACGTATGTGATCATGGAGTATGTGGCAGGAGAAGATCTGGAGAGCTGCCTCAGGGCACTGGGCTGTCTAAAGGAGGATGAGGCTAGACCAATTTTCCGGCAGGTCGTGTCAGCAGTTCACTTCCTCCACCAAAGACACATTGCACATCGTGACATTAAGTTAGAAAACATCCTACTCGATGGAGCAGGAAATGCAAAGCTTTGTGACTTTGGTATGGCAATTAAAATCAGAGAAGGGCAGATGCTTGAGGAGATTTGTGGCTCCTTGCTCTATTGGGCCCCAGAGATCTTGGCAGGGAAACCATATGATGGAATGGCGGGTGATATGTGGAGCTTGGGTATCGTCCTCTTTGTCCTTGTCACAGGGCACTTTCCATATGTGGAACCCACCCTTGATGGTATGCACAGGCTCATCACCACCACAATGTGTCCCATTCCCTACCACCTGTCAAAACCCTGCCACATTGTCATTGCACGATTACTCATGGTCCCCACCTGGTACAGAATAACAATAGGTCAGCTTGTGCAACGACCATGGCTGGGCCACATTCAAGAACATGTACCACCTGCCACTAAGGAAATCCTTCCCAGGGTGGTGGAGACTATGTGCACCATTGGCTACACCTGTGAAGAGATTGTGTCATCCCTAAAACACAGGCAATCAAATAATGTCACAGCAACTATAAATATCCTCAAATACCAACTGAGCTGTGGGGATAGCCATGGACAAGGTAAGTCCTGGCTAAATATGATCTGCGCACACCCTCTTAGACTCCCCCTTCCCTTGGGGAGGAGAGCTAGTGAACCAGGTCTTCCTTCTGGGAAGAGTCCCTTTCACAAAGAGGGTGTGGAAGAAAGAGCCAAGGGATGCAGAAGCTACCCCATGCTCAACAGGGGGTCCTGCCTGGAGGTGATGTCCTGGTCAGATAACACCGTCCCAGAAAGAGGTGCTTATGTGGCCGATGCCATCAACACTGCAACATGGGGCATGAATTTGGTTGACAGTCTGCCTGGCAATCTCTCCTCCCATGAATCAGCCCTGGATAGAACACTCACTGGGTTTCTGAACTTGGGCTTCTCCATAGAGGAACCATCCACAGGGCCAGACATTCCCAGTGACCAGTCCCAGGTGGCACCCACAACATCTGGATCCAGGCCATTCAGAGGCTGGAGACTGACAAGGAAGCAAATTGTCCATGCACTGAGAGTACTGTGCTGCTGCTGCTGCTGCTGCTGCTGCCACCACCGCCGCCACCTGCCCACCCACCCCATGGTGAGCCCCGAATCCTTGTGTCAGGGACTGCAAAGAAAGAGAGGACAATGGAGTCCCACATGGAGCACAGCTGGTTTGGTCTCACAGATGAACTCCTCCATTGTATTTTCAATGTTATTTTAATGTCATTTTAAATGACAAGTTGTACCCACTTAGAAGGCAGAGAATTTAAGACGCCTAGTACATTAGATGGCACAATTCCACAGCTTGCTGTTCATGTAAATGCCTGAACATTCAGCCAAAATCAGATAGCATAGTGTGGGGACCACAGGGTAGAAAGGGAGGGAGGAGAATTTGGTTAAAGGGGGCAAAGTTTCAGAATAGAGGAATCAGGAGAACTATGTCACTGACGGTTTGTCTGTCAAAGTCACTAATATAGCTGCTTTCGTGTTTCTTTCTGCTTTGAAGGGTGGAAACTGAAATGGCCTAATCAATTCCTGCCCTGAGGAGTGACTGCCGCAGGAGAGATCTCCAGAGTGCCAACTCCCTCCATTCCAGGCTTCTGCATCCGTCCTCCAGCTATTGAGTCTGGGTTGCAAGTTTACGTCTTCTTCAGCGTACTCCAGCTCCAGCACTGCTGCTGTACCAAGAGGTGGTCATAAGGCACATCTGCCCAATGGCCTGCTACCTCCGTTGCTTTGGACGTGCTTGTAGGACCACTCTCACTGAGTGGAAAACAGCTGCCTCTACAACCAGGAATGCCTTTGTACCAACCCAGGCTGCTCATCGTCTGGTCACTTTAACCACTTCAACTTATTTTGAGACAGTCTTTTGGAAAGGACAGCAAGCAAGACCTCTGTAAGTCCTCTGGAGGAGGGAGATGGGTGGAAGGAGATGAAGGGGAGTCATTGGGAACAGGAAAGGGCAAATGAGGGGTGGTGTAAAGTAAGGAATACAGTCTGTCCTGAGGAACTTCCTGCCAACAAAGTAACATGAAAAGAGATGGGTGTGTTGACCTCTGTCAGGGGCCCAGGACAAGCTAGAGGAGTAACGAACCTCCCCTAAAGTACATATTGGGAAGCCGCTAGGAATAGTCCACAGTGAGGAGGAGAGGGCCTGCTCTGAGGGTTCCGAGCATGTGTCAAGGCACACAAGTAGGATGCTGCCTTGGAAATAGCATTCTGTACTTACCTACTAAGCTAGGTTGTGGCAGGAGAAAAGGTCAGGCCTACTGGTCAGTGGAGTCCTGTCTTCTTCCGTGCTGAGTGAGTCCTGTCTGTCAAAGTCACTAAGAGAGGCACTTTCATTATTCTCTTGGTTTTTATTTGGGGAAGTGAAATGGCCCATTTAAAATACTGTCTTGGTGTGTAACAGGAAGGAGCCAGTTCAGAATTCTGTGTCGTGTGCAGCAATATATCAGGGCTCCAGGTTCTAGTATCCATCCTGCAGCTGTAGAGTCTCAGCTACCATCTTCCCAATCATTCGCCTCCCTGATGCCCCTGTGCTGTTGGGCATCCCTACATAGTCACATGTAGCATCGGCCCAATCAAGGTCTGCCCCCATTGCTTCATGGTTCCTGTGGGACCAGGTTTCCACAGCATCTAAAAGGACTTCCTCTGTCAACAGGGCAGACAGACTTGCACACTGGTCTCAGGCTTCACCTCCCCTTTGGTCACTCCATCACCTCCAAACGTCTTTCTGACTGTCTTGTAGAAAAGCTACAGGAACAGCCAGTGGGGAATGGGAGAAGAAAGAAAGTGGGGAGGGCAACTGAGGAAAGGGGGGTGGAGAGGACAAAGAGGAAATGAAAGGACCTCTAGAGAGGCGGACAGAGGCTCTCCTTAGGAGATTACCTGAAAATGAGTCAGGAGAAAAGGAGGTTTTCTTGGGGCAGGGGCCTTGAAGAAGTAAGACCAGGACCAAATGTCTCTGGCAGGGCAGAGTGTGAACACTGGTTTATTGTCAGCCATGATGGAGGAAGGCCCTGCTTTCATGGTCTCTGGCAAGTGTCAAGGTAGAGAAGTGTGAGGCTGCCTTGGAAAGGGCTTCCTGTCCCGGGATACTGCTGAAGGATGTGACAGGAGAGAAGGGTGGCCCCATCATTCAGTGGAGCCCTCTCCTGCTCTTGGCAATCACAGTCTATGGCAGATCTGACAACATCTGTGTCTTTGTCGTCATAACCTCCTTCATCCAGGCTTCCCATTTGCCTCCCATCTCCTGATCCAAGAATCTGACATTGATTTCCAATCTCAAGCAAGGATTTATTTTTTTCAGATATTTTTATTTGAATTAGAAACAAGATTGTTTTACATGACAATCCCAGTTCCTTCTCCCTCCCGTCCTCCCCTACCACCACCCCACCCCCCAGCTAAAACCCTACTTATCACATATCCTTTCTGCTCCCCCTGGATGGTGAGGCCTTCCATAGGGTGTCATCAGAGTCTATCATATCCTTTGGCATAGGGCCTAGGCCCACCCCCGTGTGTCTTGGCTCAGGGAGTATCCCTCTATGTGGAATGGGCTCCCAAAGTCCACACCTATGCTAGGGATAAGTACTGAACTACTAGAGCTGGTCCTGTAGATTTCCGAGGTTTCCTCACTGAAACCCACATTCCTGGGGTCTGGATCAGTCCCATGCTGGTACCCCAGCTATCAGTCTGGGGACCAAGAGCTCCCCGTTGTTCAGGTCAGTTGTTTCTGTGGGTCTCACCAGCCTGGTCTGGACCCCTTTGCTCTTCACTCGTCCTTCTCTACGTCTAGATTCCAGTTCAGTTCAGTGATTAGTTGTGGGTGTCTGCTTCTACTTCCACCAGCTGCTGGATGAGGGTTATTGGGTGGCATATAAGTAGTTATCAATCTCATCATCAGGGGAGGGCATTTAAGGTAGCCTTTCCTCTGTTGCTTCAATTGTTTGCTGGTGTCATCTTTGTAGATCTCCAGACCTTTCCCTAGTGCCTAATTTCTCTGTAAACCTAATATGTCTCGCTCTATTATGGTATCTCCTTTCTTGTTTTCTATTTTTCCCCTGACTCAACCTTTCTGCTTCCTCATGTCCTCTGCATTCCTTCTCTTCTTCCCTTCTCATTCTTCTAGCTCCCTCCCCCCTCTTCCCGTGCTCTCAATTTGCTCAGGGGATCTTGTCCCTTTCCCTTTCTCCAGGGGACCATGTATGTCTCTCTTAGGGTCCTCCTTGTTTCCTAGCTTCTCTGGCAGTGTGGATTGTAGGCTTTACTCTATGTCTAAAATCTACATATGAGTGAGTACATATCATGTTTGTCTTTTTTGTGATTGGGTTACCTCACTCAGAATGGTTTCTTCTAGTTCCATCCATTTTCCTGCAAATTTCAAGATTCCATTGCTTTTTTTCTGCTGAGTAGTACTCCATTGTGTAAATGTACCACATTTTCTCTATGCATTCTTCAGTTGAGGGTCATCTAGGCTGCTTCCAGTTTCTGGCTATTACAAATAGTGTTGTCAAGCAAGGATTTCTAACTTACATTCACCTTACATTAATGTTGTTCTGCTCCAGTGTGGGAAGGGAAGTAGGCCTTGGCAGGCCTGATTCTCAGCTCTGCCTTTATAAGGCCAGCAGTCATGTGACTTCTCTATGACCAATGCCTGCCACAGGGGTCATGCTTACAAGGTACCTTGATCATAGTGGAGTTCTCGATGACAGTCACTGGCAGTGTGAAGCAGTGGTGAGTGTGGTATCTGAGCTGTTTTCCAGGACACCTTCCAGATAGGGAGCAGTGCACTGAGTTGGCAAGGGGAACTGAACTCAAGGGGTAATCCAGGGCCTTAGTCTGTGTGAATCATTACCTGAAGGTAAGATTAAGTTCAGGAAGTATCTGTTTGTGGTAGAAGATGAGTTCCTCAAGCCTGGTCTTCATGTTGTGAAGAAAAGGATCATATGAGGTGGCCTATGCCAGCATCCCTGACACAGAGGGAAAGTTACCATAGACTTGCTAGACTGAAGAGCAATGGGAGACTGTGAGACTGTGGATGTGTGTCAGGGAGAAACCATCTTCTCTGTTGTACTCGGCATCCAGCTTCCATTCTGACCATCTGACCCTGGGATTTTAGCAAACACTGGTGCAAACTGAAGGCTTTGGCCAGATCTTCTTCACAGCAGGACAATAGCCAGCTTGTGCCATTACTTACTTTCTAGACCCCTGGCCATCTGGTGAGTCCATGTGCACAGAATGGAACAAGAAGCAGCTTGCTTAGGGGGTGAGAGCGATTTTCAATTTGTGGGTATCAACTGGGGTCAGGCCCTGTTTCTATTGCCTATCAGTGAAGCCAGGGCTGTGAAAATGTTTGAATGTTCTCTTGAGTTCTGCAAATGAGATGCAGGAATTTCTGGATTCCACATTTTATATTTTATGTTTGAGACTGGGTCTCACTATAATATCCTGACTAGCCTGAGACTGTCTGGGTAGAATATGCAGATCTCAAACACACAAACCCACACATATCTCTGCCTCCTGAATGCTGTGATTACAGATGTCACTGCCATGCCTGGCTTCAAGGACAGTATAGCATCAATGGTAAATTCCCTCAAACACTTGAGGCAGAACTGGTACCGATTCTGTGCCTTTCCACCTTGACAGGGTCATGGATTTAACTGACTAGAATAGCCTAGAAACAGGGGGCGAACTCCAAATCTAAACTTCAGATTAAAAGTGTTTGTCCACCATGAACAGACACCAGGAGGTGAGAAGTGCTGTCGAATTCTTCTGTGGACACAAGGCAGTGGGCTGGAGGACGTGTGCCCTAGCTGGTATGTCACTTGAAATAGTGCACAGAGTACTAAAGGTTACAAACAAACCCTGTTTCCACAGGATCTCCACCTGCAGGCCAGGCACAAGTCACATGACTTCATTCTGACCAATCAGAGGAGTCCAGATTGACTACCTGGTCTGATTGATTGAGTTCTTTCCATTTATCTATCAGAACAAGTCTTAGGACTCAAGATGGGTCACTGAGACATTTGGTTATCTGTCTTGGGATTTGAAAGGCAGAGCTTTCACTTCAAGAACACCGGTAGTAGAGGCAGTGCATGAAGCCACAAATTCTGCATAGGAGCTTCCAGTTCTCCTCATCCAACACACAGATATAGTCTTCTTGGTTGCTGGCTTTCATGGCTAGTCTTGCTCATGGGTCCCCCAATGCTGTCTTTACTTGTCAAAACCACTTTAGGCTGTGAGTTGGGCCACTGAATCTTGTTCATACTTGCTGGCTAATGGAGAGTCCAGGGCTGCAGGAGTCATATACTGAACCAACTAGGACTCTCTTTAGCACACTCTGGACTGTCTGTGCAGGTAGAGGTGATCATTTCCCTCCCAGAACATTGTGGACCATCCCAGGAGACCACCGACATTTTCCTTGTCCTTAGTGTTCTGTCATTTGTGTTCTGGCTCCTTCAAACCTCTACATTTTTCATATGAGAGAAAACAGATGTTTGGCTTTCAGGACTTGCTTGTCACACATAACACAGCCATCTTATTTTTTTTTTGAGACAGGGTTTCTCTTTGGCTTTGGAGGATGTCCTGGAACTCACTCGGTAGACCAGGCTGGCCTCGAACTGGCAGAGCTCCACCTGCCTCTGCCTCCAGTGTGCTGGGATTAAAGTTGTGCACCACCACCTCCTGGCCATAACACAGCTATCTTAAGATGAATATGTTTTCTAAAACATGTCAAAATGTCATTCTTGATGCTGTGTATGTGCTCTTTGCCTATATCTTCTTCATACATTTATTTCATCAGTTTTGTATTTGAAACTATCATCTGTCCTTTGCAATTGGCACATTAACTTGTTTCCCTGTGTAGATATCCAAATTTACAGATCTGACTTAAAAATTACCAGTCCCACAAAGTGACAAAGTTGAGCTGGAGTTGGAGAGCAGAGGATGAGAACCAGAGGTTTCAGAGGCAGCAGGAAAGAGTTTGCAGAGGGAGGAATTTAGAGAGGACAGAAGAGACAGGGGAGGAGCCGTGAGGAGAGGGATGCACAGTGGGGTAAGAACAGTGGAGACTTGGTGCTGCATATTTCATAGCCCCTTAGAGTCCCTTTCACATGTCCTTCCTGTTAAAGTGATGAGCTCTAGACATCAGGAGACACAGGGTGGAGCTTTGCAAGCGTGGCCTGAGACAGCAGAAGTAGGAGCCCTGCAGGAAGTCCAGATGGCAGTGTGCCCAGTTACCCAGCATAAAGGGTCTCTGTCCAGCACAGGAGAAAGTGAGCCATCTACCATAGATTTGTCCCCAGGAAGCCATAGTTCTCAAGGAAATGTGGTCCAGGCTGGCCTTTCACAGCATCATCCTCAGAGGGGATCTGAGCCAATACCATCTCCAAGCTGCCCATGAATGTCCAGACCCTACAGACCAGTCTGCAGGGGAACACCTCAGCAGTACTCACTAATCTGTCCATCCCTGTGAAATGTGTCCCCACAGGAGGGCAAGGGAGCTACTGCCCCTGGTGTGTTTAACAGCCTTCATGCAGCCCTGTGTTCTTCCCATCAGAAAAGACACAGTCCCACTGAGCATGTAGGTCTAGTTTATTGTTGTGAAGGGGCCTCACTGTAGGGAGTTTTCTCAGAACCATCTTTGTGTCCTACCAGGAAAGTGACAGCAAGCTGGAGGAAAATGGGTACCACTGTGGATGGATGCTGGGACTTTGCTCCACTTTGGATGTGAGTATGGCTTAACTAGCCTAGGACACAGTGGCCAGAGGTGGGGTCAGCACTCTTACAGCTTTGTACCCAGGCCCACTGGATACAGGTGTCAGGCCCAGACAGCCTTGTTGACCATAGAGCTAGGGCTTTCAGCTGGGCTGTCTTGTCTGCATGGTTATCCTGCTGGGCTAATGGTCTAAAGTGTTGTCATGTGTACCCGATGGGCAGATTGCTGCTCCATGCCATGAAGGATGTCCACTGTGATTGGGATGAATGCCAAGGCTCATCTGTGGGCAGCACATGGCTGAAGGCATCGTTGAGACCACTATGTACCAGACTGTGGTAGATGAGAAGTGTTTGGTTTCTGGTCTGAACTTGACTCTGGATCACAGGTTAGGAAGCTTGAGGCTGGCCAGGCAGGCTTCTCCCAACCCCAATGGAAAGTGGTCATTGAGTTTGTCTTATAGAGTACCACAAAGAGAGAGGGAAAGCAATAGCCTAGGCATGGCTTCAGAGGGATGTTGAGAAAACTTTGTGTGGATAGCACATCTCTCCCCTCTGATCCTTACACCATTGAGGAGGAACAATTTGAATCAAAGAGAGTGAACATATTCTCACACATGTATAATACAATAACAATAACTCATGATATAAATGACGTTCAGTCTGTCACTCCCCAGTGACTTAGTCTATGTTGGGTTCCAGGGCCAGAAGCGTGAAGTTTCACACATCCTAGCAAGGAAACCTTCCCAGGGACAATGTGCTTCTTGGTCTTCAGCACATGGCTGGCCTGTCTGTCAGTGAGTGACCACTAGGTCATGCTTCAGTCCTGATAACTGAAACCACTTAACTGAAACCACTGCCTGGTCAAGGGAGACTTGGGTACTGTGTCCAGGTCATGGAATCTCACAAGAGTCAGCACAAGTGGACCAGGGACTCCAAACTCATGTGATGGTCTCTAAGAATATGCATCTCAGAAGGCAGACATGATGCCTATGAGACCACACGAGTATAATGAGAACTTGTTATATCGCTGGCCACTGGAGGGAGCATGTTGTGGCCTTAGTCTGTTATGTGAGAGAAGTTGGCTCATGATCCTGGCTCACACACCTAACACCCTCCTTCCTCACTGCCTGCCTGATGGCGGCAACAGGAAGAGGTACAGTCAATACCAGCCTTTGTACCCAGATCTCTATACACACTTACTCCAACATTGCCCAGTGCTGTTCACCTCCCAGTGGAGAAAACTGTGTCCCAGATGCTCAGTAGCTTGCTCTTTTGGAAAGAGCATGACTGGTTGCAACACCGATTACATTCCTTTGACCCAAATATGATGACCATTGTGGTAACAGCCTGGGTCCCCTGTACTCACAGAGGCAACTCCAGAACTCTCATTGACCATCCTTTCTCTCCTCAGATCTCAGGTTCTGTTGGACATGTTCTGTGACAAAGCCCATTTTCACCATATGTACCTCCTGTGTCATCTAGGCAAGTGTCAAATGAGAAGGGTTGCAGGAAGCACAGTGCCCTGATAAAGACATGTTGGTGGGAAACTTCTGCTCCTCTTTTGATCCCAGAGAGTTTTGTATGGGACAGTAGTAGAGAATCCAGGACAATCAATCCGTGTGATCAGAGCTTCCTGAGGAGACCACACTGAGTTCTCCCTCAGGAAGATCTCATAGGAAGAAAATGGACATTAACCCCGCCCCGCCCCCCACTTGGTCCTGATTTCCACCAAATATAAACCTGTTATTATCTGAAAGGCCACAGGTCTAGGGCTGGTGAATGAATCTTTCTGCCAGCCTCATCATTGGTCCAAAAATCAGCCTTCTCTTGTAGGTGACTGTCCACATCCTGAGTCATGGATCCCAAATCTCCTGACCTGAGGATGTGCACACTGAGCATTGGTGACATTGAAGGAGGAGTGTGCCTCTCACCTCCCCTTCCCCTGGAAGACTAACATGTCATTGCCTGGGCTCTAGAGGAGTTAGGAGGCTCCATTGGGACATTTTGAGGACACGCTGTGGAGGACAATGAAATGGTTACTCTTCTACCTTCCAACTACAGACAACCACCCAAATCATCAGCAAGATCTGGGGAATCTACAGGAGGGTCCCCTTGTGAAAACTTCCCAGTGGGTAGATATTGTTGAATCCTGTCCAGCTTAGACCCCTTTGCATTTTGACATTGCACAAACTTACCTATGTCTTTCTGTCCTCACAGATAACCCAGAAGTCCTGCCTGAACAGGAAAAGAAAGTATCTCAGAAGAGCCTTGGGGAATGAATGTGCTTCTCTTTCTGACCTCTAGCCTGGATCTTCTAAGAAGGGCAGTGTCCATAGATCCCCTGTCCCAGGTCACCACTAACAAGAAGAGGGAGAACTTGAGGTCCTACAGTTGGACAGTCCTCACTGATATTAGATAGACACAATCACAAACAAACAAATACTGAAGTACTCAATTAGGATTTTCCAACATTAATTTCTGTAAATTGGGTTTCAGAAATGTTGATACATGGCTGACAGAAATCAAATTAATAGCTCTCAGGTTTAGCCAGTTGCTATTCTAAAGCTGTTAGATCTTTGTACTTCATCTATAGACTCAGGAAAATCTACTCTGATGTTCAAACACCAAATTTAACAGCCAACTGGACCTAAACCTAGAAGACATGGCAGAGGACAAAAGAGATTCCTCCAGACTCTGAACTTCTGGTTCCAGTAATTCCCACAAAGCCTCAGATATCCAGAAAGTTCTCCAGGGAAGTAATGGAGACTGGACACATGGGACAGAACACAAAGCTCAGCAACAGACCCAGACAAACCCTCTAGGCTGATTTTTTTTTTCATAGCCACCCATGAAATTCAAGGCAGACAAATAATCTGTACCTAAAGGGCTGCAGAAGCATATTGAAAAACAAAGAATAGGGACCCAATTGGAAAACTGAACACAGTCATTGTTTCAGCTGACCTCAAGTCCATATGCTATAGTGTTCACATAAAAGTTATAGAAGAGACCGTGTAAGATCAGAAATAACATGGAGAAGATGAACTGTAGACACAGGAGCCCTGATGCCACCAGCCAAGAAAATACAGATGCTGGAGCATGGGTGCAGCAGACACTTCCCTAAGACTTTGAGAGAGATCCTGGCTCCTGACACAACCCAGTAGATAACAAATCCCTGTCAGTGTACATTGTGTGGCTCTGAGGAGGTGGAAGTGTATTGTGTGCTGTGTGGTGTGATGAGGGCTGATACCTCTCACATGGAGATGAGCTGTCGAGCTGGATCGCATTAGCACTGTATTGGATGGCACAGCCAAGCAGAAGAGCCCGATACCTAGATACTTATATGTGCTCTGCATGCCCCTCCCCCTGTCTACAGCTTACATACATTGTCAGGTTAAGGGCATGCAGGACATCCCTCACCCACATTTCACCACACAGTTTTCTAGGGATCAGGCCTAGATAATTCAACTCCCACAATGCTAAGTACCAGACCCTGCTAGAAATCCCTCCAATTCCAGTGTCAAATGAGATACGGTGGGAGCTATCAGGCATCGCTGGACACTTCACCTCCTGTCAATGACACATATGTACTGCTAGGTTCAGGCCCAGCCAGATGCCTCCTGCTCTGACACATATGCCTCCCTCCCTGACTAGGTATAATACACTGCTGGACACCATACACATCCCACCTCACTTGCTCTGCAAGCTGCCAGACCCTGCTGAATAACACCTCCTCACACACATACAACCTCAAATACACTCCTAAATATTGGCCCATGTAGGAGCTCCCACCCAACTGCATACTAACTGCTAGGTATTAGGCCTTGCTGAACAAAACAGTATTTCCAGGTTTGCACCCTGACTGACACTCAGTTAACCCCACTTAGCAGGCCATGCTGGATAATCTGTCACTCTGCCCAAAACACACTATTATTTTTTACCCCACGGGTTACCACCACACCACAGAAGGCCCACAAGGCCCTCTTCTACATCCCACCACACAAGCGACATTCTCCAGTGTCAGTTATCAGGCCCTGCAGGATACCACATGACACCAACCCGTATATATTTTCAGGGTATTACCCCTGTGGGGAATCCAAACACTCAGGCCATGACAACTCCTGTAATGGTAGCTGAGGGCCCATTACCTGCAGCATCCTCGAAGACATTGCTAGGTATCAGTCCCTGGTGACACTTCCAAATGCCTCACACACACTCTGAAGTGCCATGTAACCCTGGATAACAACTCTGCCACCATCCAACGACTATGATATTAACAGGCCTGGATGGACACTAATTCACCCCATCTTCCATGGTGCCCTGCTGGGTACCCCCTTCTACTGCTTCCCACTGATAAGCATTGTTATTTACCAGGCCCCTTAGACACCCAACCACTCCCAGGACCACATGTCTACTTCTAGTTATGAGGTTTTGTTTGACCTTCTCCACATCGGACTATGCTGGGAGCTTCTTCTCCTGCCACACAAAGCTGCCTGCCAAGTATTTGCCTTACTGGACATCCTTCCTCTGAGCATGTCACACCCTTAATGCTAGGCATCAAGTTCTGCTGGACTCCTCCCGTAACCACTCTAAGTGCTGTGCATCGGGCTCTGCTACTTACTGTGCCATGCTGTGCATTAACCTCCATGTAGTGGCATATAGAGGATGTGTATCACATTCACCTGACCACCAACCTGTGCTCTCAAAAACATGGTGTGAGACCAAGCTTGTCACACACCCTTATCATATACTGCTGGCCAGCAAACACTGCTGTATTTCATGCCCTGAGAGGAACTGTGTCACTATCATATACAAGCTTCTAGGTATCAGGTCCTGTTGACACTCTTGTGTAGATGCTGTCATCCATACAATACTAGTCATCAAGTCTTATCTGACATCTCAACATTCTGTTCCCACATAAACAATGTAGGGCTTGAGATGGGGGTCCAGAAGGATTAGAAACACACCAGTGCATACAAGACTGAACCAAGGTATCCTGCCATTGCAGCCAAAAACATAAAATATGGCCAAGGGTAAGGTCTTGACAGGAACCCCCTCTACTATATATAGCCAGTGCTAAAGAGACAGGGCAAGGTGTCAGATCCTGCTAGGTAAACCCTCTCCAACAGCTAACATTATTCTCACACAGCTAGGTATCAGGTCCTCCAAAGGACCCCCTGCTTACAGCTAACCCTCTCTAATGAGGATTAGGTGTCAGACCTGCCAGGTACTCCATGAATATAGTCAAAGACACCACATATAAACAGACTAGGTGCTATGTTCATCAATACTTCCCTCCTTTAACACCAAGGTCACCTGGAACACAATTATAATTGTGCCAGGATCTCCTAGGTGGGCTCTGAAAAGTCAGTCTCATATACTTGGCTATGTGTCAGGTCCTCCTCAGAAACACCTCCCCTAGAGCAATGCTTCAAATACACATGAATGGAGAGGTGTCTGTCATGCTAAGAGTCTCTTCCCCTATAGCCAGTTCCACACATACAAATAAGGATGGTGTTAGAACGTGCTAGCTGGCACCTACCCCCGCCCCCCCATACACACACAGAGGGAGGGAGGAGAGGGGAGAGGATAGAAGGGAGGGAAGAAGAGAGACAAAAACAGTGCTAAGGCACATGTCCTCCATGGTATCCCCACACTTATCTCAAAAGTCCCACGCACAAATAGGTAGGTTTCAGGTCCCGATAGAAATTCTGTCTTCTACAGCCAATGACAAAACATAGGGCTAGGTGGCATGTCCTGCTAGATTTCCTTCTGTCACAGCCTTTGCTACACCTACACATTGGTGCTAGATCCTGATAGGTGTGCACTAACTTAACAAATTCACCCACACAGGCACACAAACATACATCACAGGAGAAATCTATCAAGATGAAGTCTCAATTCTGAACATTTATGCTACAAATACAAAGGCATCCACGTTCACAAAAGAAATACTAAAACAAATCACACATAAACCTCAAACACTTAATAGTAAGAGACTTTAACACCCTACTTTCACCACTGGACGGGAACACCAGACAGAAACTTAACAAAAAAACAAAAGAACTAATAGCAGTTATGGCACAAATGGGCTTAACAGACATGTATAGAACATTCCATTAGAATAGAAAACAACATAACTTCTTCTCAGTGCCACATGAAAACTTTGCTAAAATCGACCACATACTTGGTAACATAGCAAACCTCAACAGGTACAAAAAAATTAAAATAGCCCCCCTGTATCTTATCAGACCACCATGCTTTAAAGTTAGAAATCAACAACAAGAATTGTAGAAAATCTACAAACACATGGAAATTAAGTAACACCCAATAGCACAATTCCTGGGTCAAGGAAGAAATAAAAAAAGAAATTAGAGATTTCCTAGAATTCAATGAAAATGTGGATACAACATACCCAAACTTACGGGAAACTTTATAAGTAGTTCTAAGAGGAAAGTTCATAGTGCTAAGTGCCCACATGAAGAAACAGGAAAATAACACTAGAAATTAACAGCACAACTGAAAGCTCTAGAACACAAAGAAGCCAAAAATCCCAGAAGAACAGATGCCAGGAAATAATCAAATTGAGGGCTGAAATCAATAAAATGGAAACTAGGAGAACAATACAAAGAATATAGCAAAGAGTTGGTTCTTTGAGAAAATCAACAAGATAGACAACCCTTTATCCAAACTTCCCAAACAGCAGAGTGAACATGCAAATTAATAAAATCAGGAAAGAAAAGAGGGAAATAACACAGAGGAAATCCAGAGAATCATCAGGTCATACTTCGAAAACCTGTATTCCTCCAAATTTGAAAATCTAAAGTAAATGGACAATTTTCTGGATAGATTCCACTCACCAAAAATTAAATCAAGAACAGATAAGTAACTTGAATAAACCTGTAACCCCTAAAGAAATAGAAGCAGTCAACAAAAGTCTCTCAACCAAAAAAAGCCCAGAGCCAGATGACTTCAGTGCAGAATTCTACCAGAAACTCAAGGAACAGCTAATACCATTGTATTCCACACAATAGAAGCAGAATGATTATTGCCAAACTCTTTTTCCGAGGCTTCAATAACCTTGATACCCAAGCCATACAATGACAAAACTAAGAAAGAGAACTACAGACCAATATCCCTCATGAACTTTGTTGCAAAAATTCACAATAAAATACTGGCAAATCGAATCCAAGAACACATCAGAGAAATCATCCACCATGATCAAGTAGGCTTCATCCCAGGGATGCAAGGATGTTTCAACATATGAAATTCCATCAATGTAATCCACCATATAAACAGACTGAAGAAAAAAAAGCCACATGATCATCTCACTAGATGTGGGAAAAAGCCTTTGACAAAATCCAACACCCCTTCATGATAATGGTCTTGGAGAAATCAGGCATAACAGGAACATGCCCCAATATAATAAAAGCAATATACAGCAAGCCAACAGCCAACATCAAATTAAATGGAGAGAAACTCAATGCAATTCCTCTAAAATCAGGCACAAGACAAGGCTATCCACTCTCTCCATACATCTTCAATATTGTCCTTGAAGTTCTACCTGGAACAATAAGACATCAAAAGGAGATCAAGGGGATACAAATCAGAAAGGAAGAAGTCAAACTCTCACTATTTGCAGATGATATGATAGCCTACATAAATGACCGAAAAACTCTACCAGGGAACTCCTACAGCTGATAAACACCTTCAGCAAAGTGGCAGGATACAAGGTTAACTCAAAAAAATCTGTAGCCCTATTATATACAGATGATACATTCATGGAGAAATCAGAGAAATGTCACGCTTTACAATTGTCATGAACTACATAAAATACCTTGGGGTAATGCTAACCAAAAAAGTGAAAGACCTGTACCATAAAAATTTTGAGTCTTGCCGGGCTTTGGTGGTGCACGCTTTTAATCCCAGCACTCGGGAGGCAGAGGCAGGTGGATCTCGGTGAGTTTGAGGCCAGCCTCGAGCGAGTTCCAGAACAGCCTCCAAACTAACAAAGAAACCCTGTCTCGAAAAAACTAAAAAAAATTTTTTTTGAGTCTCTAAAGAAAGAAATTAAGGAAGATACTAGAAAATGGAAGGATCTCCCATGTTCTTGGATAGGTAGGATCAACATAGTAAAAATGGCAATCTTGCCAAAAGCAATCTACAGATTCAATGCAATACCCATCAATATCCCAACACAATTCTTCACCAACTTTGACAGAACAATTTTCAACTTTATATGGAAAAACAAAAGACCCAGGATAGCCGAAACAACCCTGTGCAATAAAGGAACTTCTGGAGGCATCACCATCCCTGACTTCAAGCTCTATTACTGAGCTATAGTCCTGAGCAGCTTGGTATTGGCGCAAAAATATACAGGAAGACCAATGGAATAGAGTTGAAAACCCTAATATTAACTCATACACCAATGAACACCTGATTTTTGACAAAGAAGCTAAATTTATACGATGGAATAAAGAGAACATCTTCAACAAATTTTTCTGGCATAACTGGATGCTAGACTATAGAAGACTGCATATAGATCCATGTCTATTATCGCCATGCACAAAGCTTAAGTCCAAATGGATCAAAGACCTCAACATAAATCCAGCCACACTGAATCTATTATAAGACAAAGTGGGAAATACCCTTGGATTAATTGGTATAGGAACTGCTTCCTGACCATTACACCAGTGGCACAAACACTGAGATCAACAATTGATAAATGGGACCTCCTGAAACTGAGAAGCTTCTGTAAGGCAAAGGATACAGTCAGCAAGACAAAACGGCAGCCCACAGACTGGGAAAAGATATTCACCAACCCCACATCTGACAGAGGGCTGATCTCCAAAATAGACAAAGAACTCAAGAAGCTAGTCTCCAAAACTCCAAACAATCCAATTAAAAAGTGGGGTACAGAACTAAATAGACAGTTCTCAATAGAGGAATCTAAAATGGCTGAAAGACACATAAGGAAGTGTTCAACATCCTTAGGTCAGGGAAATGCAAATCAAAACAACTCTGAGATACCACCTTACTCCTGTCAGAATGGCTAAAATCAAAAACACCAATGACAGTTTATGCTGGAGAGGATGTGGAGAAAGGGGAAC